GTCCTGTCACTCCCCGCCCTTGTGACAAGTCTCTCTCCAGCGCTCTTGGAGCCCTCAGAGGTGCTGGATGGTGCTTAAGATGTTTGCAAAAGCTGCAGAAGGGACCTCGTAATTGTTTATAGCCAAGCTCTTCCTGGATGTCACCTACATGTAAACATGAGAGGTGACAGAATTGTTCTAAAAGACCATGGTGTTTTAATCTGAAGAACAGTGAAATACCATAAACATCATTAACTACACTGTAAGCATAAAAGGATTTCATTTCTCAAGCAGAAAAAGTCACTCTATTTATCAACCAAATAAAGGCACTTTAATAATTTTTAGTCTTATGACCACAAGGTCAAAAAGAAGTATCAATGCACTGAGAGCCAAACAAAAATACCCCAACATTAAATAAATATTAGATTACAAATTACCAGAGCTATTGCTATAGACAAGCAATTAAGATTTTGTTCATAAAATCAACACATTTTATTTTTCCTTTTTCTTGCACCGTTCTTCTTCCTCCCAGTTCTCCAAGTAAGACTTGAGAATGTCATTTAGCTGCTGCTCACACTGGCTTGCATGTTGTAAGCCATTTTCCCATCCTAGAAGCAGCAATAAACAGAGTAATTACATCTCTCTCTACAGCATCCATCACGGAACCAGCCCCTCACAGTGCCAACATCTATTTCCCCAAGAGCATTGCCTGGCTGTGATATTTCTGCTTGGAAAATGGCTCTGTGGAGTTCAGTCACCAAGATGCTTTATTTGATGTCGGCCAAGCAGGTAAAGTTGTAAACTGTACATGTGCAACTTGCACATTCTTGCAAAATATTAGATTTTGAGTGTAATATTAAACATTGGAGTTTATACATAAACTGATATGAATATAGTGGTTGCTCTAGCGTACACACCATATATTTTATATATTATTATAAACATTGTAAGGTGTCTTGTACATAGTGTAATTAAAGATAACAAGGTGCAGGTTTCAAATACCCCAGCAAAGAAGCTCTTACCTCTGCAGTGGTGAATTACTCTCCCCCATAGCCTGTTCCTGCTCAGACAGGGCAGACTCCCCACAATCAGCAGGTGCCTCTTGGCCCTCGTTAGTGCCACGTTCATCCTCCTCTCCGAGTCTATGAACCCAAAGTGCCTGGTCCTGACACAGGACAGCACAATGATCTCCCTCTCAGCACCCTGGAATGCATCCACCGTGGACACCTGCACAGGCTTGACCTCAAAAGCCTCGGAGTGAACCCCATTGAGCAAATTCTGGATCTGGGGGCAAAGAAACAGGGAAGGAGGTGAGTTTGGCTACTCAGAGTACATTTAAGACAAGGGCTTTATTGATTTTTGTTACTGATTTATGACACAAACCTTATACATTTGTGATTTATAAAGGGTAATCACGCCAATATCAGCTCCTTCTATTCCACTTGCAATCAGAGACTGGATGAGCTTGACTGTAAAATGAGCTTCTGCCATGTTGTAAAAGCTGTTGTCTCTTTCAATCTGGGAAGAGGGAAAAAGATTCCCAAATTAGCTCTCACCAAAAATGTAAAAAGGAATGGAATGGAGGGAAAATGACAACATTGGCTGGTTACATAAGCGGTGCTGAGGAACTCACCTGCTCCATGCCATGGACGCTGTAAAAGCAGAGCGTTGGCAGCCACTCCAGGAGAGGAGCCCTGTCCCCCTGGGAGATGCCATCGATGAGGTGCCCGCTGTAGAAGAGCTCATTGGCGATGGCACTGAGGGCGGGGTGGCAGCGGTACTGCGTCCGGAGAACAATGGGCTCGTGGCCCTGAAGGATGACACACACATCAGGGCTGGCATGGAGCTGGGAGCAAGCTGGGCTAGTGAAACCTGTCCCTGTCTGTGGTGGGGGTGACCTTGAGGTCCCTTCCAACCCAAACCATTCTGTGATCTTAAGGAATTTTGCAGTGCTGAAACCCTGATCCTCTGACACCTGGAATTGCCCATGTGACCTCAGGGGAGTTACAGTTCCTCTCTCCACCTTTTCCAAAGGTGTGTTCAGCAGCACCTACCATTAAGCAGAGTCGGTCAAAGAGGGTCTGCTCCAATCCCTGCTCATGAACACTCTCAGACCCTTGGATAGTTGGTGGCAGTTGCTTGGGGTCTCCAACTAGGATGAGCTTTTCACACTGAAACCTAAATAAGAATGTGAAAAAACCAGTGTTCTAAAAAGGATGTTAAAGTGTTCATAACCAAAGTGTGTGCTTGTTTCTGTATCACATGCTTCCCATCAGCCTCCCTCCTCCACCCCAGTTTAATAACACCTAAGGACAGGCCTCTATTTGAAATCGCCCTTCCTGCTGCTGGGGTGTTGCTGGGCTCACAGAGGTGTGGAGTGTGGCCCTGCTGGGAGCTGGTGCCCCTGTGAGGCCCCTGAGGTACAGGAGGGCTGTACCTGGCGATGGGGAGCAGGGAGGCAGGCTCAGTCATCTGGCTGCACTCATCCAGCACCACCACAGGAAACCTGAGCGCCTTCAGGCAGGGGAAGGGGCAGGCAGCACACGTCACTCCAACCACCTTCACCTGCCAGCAGCGAGGAGAAAACAGGCAGGCAAAAAGTTGAAATCGTTTCATAGTTCATCTCTGTGCAGCACCTAACTAGAGCAGGAGAATACAGCTAAATTTATTTCTAGACACAGGACACTAAGCTACACCTGTGCAATCAAACCTAAAGTTCACTTTGTATTTCAAAACCAGGAGTTTTGAATTATAAATTCCCAGTTTCCATGTGCTCAGCCCTGTGGATAAGACACAGCAAATCCCTGCTTTCCCATCCCATCTCTTTGACTGTACCTGTTGCAGAATAGTTTTATTGGTCCCCAGTTTATGCTGCTCAATGCTCTTCCTGACATAGATTTTCTCAGCTGGAGTCAAATCTTCTTTCAACAGAGCAAGCAGCTCTTTCAGCTGCTCGTTTTCATTTCCTGAACCTGCATGTAAACTTCAAAGAAGATTTTGTAACATACATTGCAGTAACTGAAAACAACAGCGCTTGGAAAAATAACCACACTTGATAACAATGTATTAACCCACCCCAAATTGCTTCAAATCCCTCAAAGAGGTTTCTTACCTATGGGGAAGAATTGCTTTCGTGATTTTCCTTACACTTCCCACTCTTATAAAATCCTCAAACCCAAGCTCGAGCAGACTTGAAAGAAAAAGAGATGATAAACATTACAGAAAGGGAAAGATGAAATCTTTAGAAAACTTTAAAACTGGTTTCAAAAGACACATCAGAACACTCAGGAACACAAACTTCAGTGATCACTGAGATGAAGTACCTCAGTAATTCAACAAAATCAAAATAAATTACCTCATCATGATTTGATGCCTTGATGATTCCCCTCTCATAGTCTTCCATATGTATCTTCCCTTCCTTTTTCCTTCCAAACCATGCATTTATTTCATGCTAAATTTTCACAAATCTGATCCCCTCTGCTCCTCCTTCCCCTACTGGTACATCCCAAAGATCCCTGAGCAGTACTTCTTGGTCCTGATGGATTTTAATAGCATATTTGATGAGAGCAGAGCCTAAAGTAGTCTTCTGTAGATGTTTTATGTACCTTTCACCCTTTTAACTGTGCAAAAGAGCTCAGGTACACTTAAAGTCTGTGTGTGCCACTTTTTAGGGAAACAAATCAATCTTTTTGATGTGTTTCACAGGAAATACCAGCACAATTACCACTACAGTGTAAGTGCATTATTGGTTTTGGAAAAAGAACCATAAAAGGCTCAGCAACCCACCCCAGCAGGATCCTGTCCACAGCAACGTTGGTGGAAGAAGCAATGAGGAGTTTCCATGGAGTTGCCCTCGGACCCTCTGTAGCTTCACTGCTTTCAAAGAGCTGCACCAGGAACAAGATGACCACAGACAGCAAGTAGCTCTTGCCAGCTCCAAAAACACCTGGGGTTTTGGAAGAAAAAGCCCAAGTTACAAGTGAGAATTTCCTAGAAATCAATTGCTTTAACTTCAGTTATGCTGTGATTCCTCGAAAATAATTGCATGGGCTTGTTTACACTTACAAAAACAATACATAGTTGTATTAATAAATAGCTAATACATGATAAAAGCTAATACATGATAAAAAGTGGTTTGCATATGAAAAGAAAAAAGCTGAAGACAATAAATAATTCTGATTTTATGTATAGGTATTTCTAGGCAAAACCTCCTATGCTTCAGTGAAATGCTGGAAAAGGCAGAGTGAAAATTTAATTTAGATTTAATTTCAAGGGGCAAAAGCTCTGTGCTGACAGAATGGATGTATTAATGTCACAGTCAGTATCAGAGGGGCTGATTCTGGCATTCTAGATTGATGGCATTTCCCATTAATCAACATTTGTGCAAAGCTACAACAGCAGGAAATATCACAATTCTTGGCTGTGTACCACGTATGATTGTGATGGGGAAGCTCTGATGTTGCTCCCCTCCTTTGGGCTTTTCACAGGTGATCATCTGAGCCACGTGAATCAGCGATGCTGCTTGGTCTGGGTTCAGGGAGAACCTCTGGATCATCTCTTCAGCCACTCCCATTGCCACTTGAGAGCTCACAGGGCCAGGCATCATGGAGCACTTCACACTCATGGCAGGTGGAGTGAATTTCCTTTTGTTGACTCTTTTTGTAGCATTTTCAGAATCAAAATTCCTAGGAAAACAAAAAATACCCAGAAGTAGTGATATGATACAATTTGTATCTCCTGGTTCTGATATTCCTGCACTGGACTGGTCACAGTATCCCAGGACAGTAACTCACATTTTCAGGAGATATGGGATCAGTGGTAATGTGGATGGATTGAAGTGCTCCTCCATGTTCCTTAGGGAGGCCAGCTCACCACTGGCATTACACACCAGCAAGGCATGAACACACACTGCAAGGGCCACAGAGAAACAAAAGGAGAAAGGAGTCAATAGAGCAGAAATTGCAAATCAGCTAAAGAAATGAATTATAAAATGCCAAAAAAGTTATTAACTGATTTTATCTTCTCCGTTTACAAAACAAAACAACCCCAAAGCTTTAACTTAATTCAACAGCAAAACCAAGAAACTTTTGCAGTCACAGACTTAATACATGGCTTTTTATAAAAAATAAATTTTCCAGTGAGTTGTTTGAGGTTTCTGCATTTTGTTTTTTAAGGACAGTAAAAACATATTCCTTTTACTTACACTTTTACAGTCAACTTGCATTGTACATCATATTACATAATTTACTACTTCCCTCATATTATTCTCATTTCTTCCCCACCCATTTGCAATTTGCCAGCTACTTTGCAGGTTTCATTGCATTAATTAATGTATTCAATATATATTCAAACACACAAGGAAAAAAAAATACTGTGAATTAAATCATGTGCAAGGTTTGAGAAATTCTCAAATTCTCAGCAGCTCATCCTTCATTGCTGGCTGGATTTTTCCTTAGTTGTTTCCCACAGTTCTCAATGTGGCTGTGGAACTCACTGTTGGATCTCCAGTTGGAGGGACTGTAGCCTTTCAGTGGTAGCAATTCTATCTCATTGTTGGAGGATGGTCCAAAGAAAGCACTGCTTGCAATGAAAGTATCAATGGGATCAAAGTTCAGAGTCTTGGAAACAACCCAGATGTCATCTGCCAAAAACAACAGAGAGTCCTCATCAGCCTCTGCCACTGCCACCTTTGAAATCTGATGTTTAAGGTGTGCTCACCTTTGCTGTAGAGAGAAGAATGCTCCTTTCTGCTTAGCTTCAGGTATAATTTGGGTTTGGAGTCACCATCAAAGCTGGCAGGTGTATTCATGAATTTCTTGAACTTACTGTACCTCTGTGTTGGAATTTCAAAGGCTTTCCTGGGAAATTGTAATTAAAAAAAAAAAAAAAGGAAAAAGGTATGTAAAACCATCAGCACATTTTGGATTCAGCACCAAAAGCAAGAAACCTCCATTTATCTTGACTGCAAAATCCTCTCATATCCAGACACAATTAAATTGTTTCCTCTACAGTTAAACAGCACAGAATAGCCTTTGAGATGACTTCTGGCATTAAAATTAGAATCTTGAAGAGAAGAAATCAAACTCTCCTACTGAGGATTAAATGAACAAAGTTCAAATGCAACAGTTCTGACACTAAGCAATTGATCACATTGCTGGTCAGCAGTTCTGATTCTTGCTAAAAACAAATACCATTGCTATAAATATTTTTCCTTCAGTAATATAGCTCTTGCATTTCTTTACAGAAAGAAATCTTTACTCTTTAAATGTAGAGAAAATGTGTTAAATCCTGCTGAAGTCCTGGGCTACTGGAATATTCATAAACCTTGAAGTGGCACAGTATTTGAGGATACCTCACCAAAAGCTGGCTTTCCTCATAAACAGCAATCTTTTGACTCCTGAGGTATGTCCCAATACTTTTTGTGTCGTGGAGCACTGCACCAGCTCTGGATTTTGTCTGTGAGGGGTTCACATCTTCAATCCACTTGAAAAAGGAGCACTGCTCAGCTTTTGGGGCATCACAGGCATAGAACAAACGACCCTGCAAGGGAAGGGAGGGGGAAAAAGTCCATAAGCACCAAAACAAGTAAGAAAAAAAAGAGAAAGCAATGGATACTTTCACCCCCAAAGTGTAAAAACCACATGGAATAAACAGCACCTTGTTTTGACCTTCTTTTTTAACCATCACCAGCTTAGCAGGGTGCATGTGGTTGCAGAGTGGGGCGCAGCTTCCTTGGGCCTGGCTTTGCCCATCTTTCACTGCAGTGTACAATGATATGTCCACCTTGGAGAGGGCATGGTGCAGCCTCTGGGCCAACTCAAACAGCATTATGTTCAATTGCTCTTGGTGGGGAAAGGACAACAACAGAATCATTAGCACACACTTAAAATGCTTACACAGCTACACAAAATCCAAACAAATGTACTTCCAATGGAAAATTTCCATCCCAAATCAAAATATTTCATCTGAGTCCTAAAAGAAACCACGTGACCTGAAAAATCCACTTATTCCAGGGAAAAAAAAAAAAAAGGGCTTAGGTATCTTAAGACTGGAAAACAGCCCTGAGGTTACAGAGTTGAACAGTGTGTACTGTCTTTTTGGCTTGCCTCTGCAATTTTGGATATAGACTAAATATATTTCAGTAGAAATATAAAAAAAATGAAATGCACCCTGCTGTTTTAATAGGCAATGTTTAAAATGACAGCATTTCAGAGAGCAGAGGCTTACCTGTCAGAGCAGCTTTAAAAACCTGCTTGTAGTGAGTGTGAGACTGAAACACAGCTGGGATGGAAATCTTTCTTTTAGGAAGATTGGTGTGTTTCACTTTATCCACAGGAGGAAAAGACAACTCAGAAATTGTTATGTCCTAAAAAGACCCAGGAAAATAAACCATTAAAAACTGTAAGACCTTGAATGAGAAAATTGCAGATTTGTAAAAAAATACTAAAAAATACTAAAAACTTCCCTAGAGCTTGGGCTGCCATTTAGGATGCACTATGAGGTTAAAATTTGCTCCTTGCCAAACAGCTTGCATTTATATAGTAACACAATTAATACTTCCAAAGGCTTTAGAATAAATGTTATGTAGTTCAAAATCATGTTTTCCACCACTAGGCATGGGGAAGGAGCACACAAACCCTATTTGCAACACCATTTTGCACAGAAATAAATGAATTATAAGTGTCTTCATAAGCTTTTTAAGTCTGGTATATGGATTTTACACACATGTATATATTTGTATATAAAAACACACACAATGTGTATACCCATGTATATGTTAAATATCTTAGTTATTTCCTTTCTCTGCTTCACACAAATCAAATACTGTACTGGACAGTTTTATAGAACCAAAAAAACTTGAAAAAAAAAAGAGTCAACATTTTCTTCAACTCTCAAAACCATTTGACAACTTAAAAAACTTAACTTGTGGTTGGTTTGGTGCTTCAATTTGCCTAATTTGCTCTACTGATCACAAACACATGTGCTAAATGTTTAGGTGCTTATTCAGTGCCATAACTTGACTTTGACACAACTAAAACTGAAGGAATTTATAATAATTTGAAGTCAGAGACTATGACTTGAAGCAAAAATTGGTGTTGATTAAAATGATGCTGATACCACAATTAAGAAAAACCCACAATTTCTTACCAATCAGAGATGTCAAAACAGCCCAGCACCTTTTCTTTCATCTTCCTGCCATTGACATTCAGATTAAAAATCTAAATCTGGCACTGAACTACCTCTACAAAGGATTAGTCGTGGCATGTGACTAATGTATTAAAAATACATTAAAAATTTAAAAACACATTAAAAATTAGAGACATTTTTTGGTGTCACTATGCAATCCTACTGATAACATCTGCAGGCAATGAGATAAATGCAGCACCGTGCTGGTGTCAGTGTCAGTGTCAGCCCGGTACACACCTGGCCCTCTCCTGTTCCGCCGTGGCAGCTCAGGTGACTCAGCACCTTTTGTGCGGCCGCAGACAGAGGTGCCTGCGGTAAGTGCAGGGCGAGCGCGTTCCCCGCTGACACCGGAGCGGCCCCCGCAGCCCCGGAGCGCTCCCCGGGCCCGCCCCCGGCCGCCAGCGGCGCTGCAGGGCTGGCAGCGCTCGGATCCTCGGCTCTGCTCTCTCCTGGCTCCGCCGCCGGCATTCCCAGCACGCTCCGGGCACAGATGTCATCCTCCTCCTCCTCCCCTTCAGCACTGTTTGCAGGGATCAAATCGCTCTGAGCACTGCTTTGATACTTCAGCCACTTGCTTTGTCTGCCTTGGGCAGTCACATCGGGGAGCGCTGGTGGCACAGATCCCCTTTGCCCATCTTCCAGGTACTCCCCGAACACAGAGGGGTCAGAATTCCTGTCCCGGGCGCTGGGAGCACTCCTGGGAAATGCCACTGACTGGCTGCACAGATTGCCTCCTGAAGAGTCCAAAGACTGCTGGAAATGCTCACTCTCAGAGGGGTAAAACATGGCAGCAATCTCGTGGCTGGCAGGAACAGTGACAAAGGGAGCTCGTGTTTTCATTGTGGGTGTCAGTGCTGGCAGGCTGCATTCCTGTGCACGGCTGGATTTCTCCTGGGCTGTGGGGAAAATACAGCTTACAAGCAACCTGGGGCACCCAGGCTTGGTGTGGGAATACACAAAATTAGAGGGTTTTGGGGAAAGCTGAAAAGGCAGGCCTCTGATACAGCAGAACTGTAAGTAGAGCTGAAGCAGCAGCCATGAGATTGGTCAGCAGAAAAATATTTAAACTGTAGAAAAAGCAAGGGCAAATAGAACAATGGCCTGTGTATTAATGCTTGTCTGAATAGCTCTCTAAGCTGCAGAAAGTTTATCTAGCAAGATATTAGGAAGGTTAAAGCTTAATAATGGAGCTCTGTGCATTGTGTTTAAGGCTGACAAGCAGGTCTTGTATTTGAAATAAGCAAACATTGTTTTAACCAAAGGTACGTGTGCTCATGGTGATTAGATAGAACTACTGTCAATGTGCTTTTGCTTGGTGTGATTGGTCAAGAAGCTATTAAAGGAAGTTGTAACATTAAGTTTTTTGGCCTGCTGCCTGAAATGTGAGCTGCTGGCATCTTCCCACTGTCATAACCATGTAATGAGAGTGATGCTGAGAAATAAACAGCTCGGGGCACTTTGCACAGCAGCCCCGTCTGACACAGCAGCGTCAGATGGCTCTTCTGATGTACCAAAAGTAAGGAATTCTAAATTCTTCCTTCTACACCCTGCCTTCCAGCTGGGAAGCTCTCTGGATTGCTCCTGTGCAGTATTACACGAAATGATGGACTTTGTGTGATTCTTTTAATTAGTTTGTTTGATTTTTTTAAATTTCTTTGAAAATAATTTTTTTTAAAAAATTTCTTTGAAATCTCCATATTCAGAACACATTATGTAGCCATTCTGCTTGTATAAAAGACCTACTATTAAATTAAACATGGTTGTATTTTGGAGGTCATTAATCTGATGTCACTGACATCTGCCAACTAGAAAAAAACCCATTTTAACATTTGCTTTTTTTCCAAAAGATAACCCACAAGCCTATGAATTAACATTGAACAACACAGATAAATAAGCTCTCACTACCAAAAAGGATCCTTTTGGCTACATTAATTATCATTAGTGACAGTTATAGAGAGGTGTCAAATGGGAGAGGGTCAGAGGACAGCTGAATATGGAAGAAAACTCAAAGCAGGTAAATAAAAACATAGGGATCATTTAGAAACTTAGCTTACAGCCTTCTTGCCCCCAAACTAGAAGCTGATTTTTCTTTATAAAACTAAATCCCTCTACTCAAGTCTCCTTCAGGAGACTATAATTGGCAGAGTAACTGTCTGTGATGGCCCAACTCATTGTGCTTCAAGAACTCAGAGATTTTCAGCTAAAACACTGTGAGGTGCCAGTATAACCCTGTGAATTCTTACTGAAGAAGAAATCTGGGAGTTGTGGTTCACTGGGTAAGAGCCCATGTGTCAGGGGCTCCTGGATGTCTCCAACAGGCTCCTCATTTCCCCAGGGTGGAGAAATTGCACAGTCTGGATCAAGTGGGGAAGTCACTTCTGGTGAAATCTACAGGTGAAGAATTAACATGGCAGGTTAATTAACATGACTGAAAAAACCCCTGGTTACAGCTCTTTCATCACCATTCTCTCTCATCATTCTAAACAATGAGATATCTCTCAGAGTTGAGATAAAACAGCTCCAAAAGTAAGAAATTGCCACGAACACACAGGAAATAAAGCCAAAAATGTTTGCAAGAGCCAGTCAATCCCCACCTTGCCAGGCTCCCAGGCAGTCCACTGTGCTTGTCTCGGGTCAGGGGGTGGGTGTGACACTGTCCATGGTGGCACTTCAGGGTGCACATCCAGTGCCAGTGCTAGGAAAAACAGAGAAGGGATGAAGTCAGAAATTCTGAGGCCAATCACTGCCCTTCTCCTTTTACTTTCACTTACAGCACTGATTTATTCCTGTCTCTTCAATAACATCAGGCTTCACTTGAAAATTCCCTTCTCCAACAATGTCAACATCATCCTCATGAAGGCTCCTGGAACCTGGAGACTTCATTTAAAAAAAAAAAAAAGCCTAAGTAAAAACTTGGCAGAAATTAAACTGCTTATCTTCTTTTTTTCAAAGTGCAACTGATCAAAGGAGCAGAAAAAACAAAGTGACACATTGTGAAGTTCTATGACAAAGGTAAGTAAAAATAATTGGTTTTTATATGATTGTAGCAGTTTAAAAATGAACTATTTCCTATCCTAAATTGACAAGATACTTTCTTGCACTAAGGTTAGTATGGATAACTGAACAAAAAAAAAAAAGTTTTACCTGTCTCAAGTCATAAAGGTCATAATGCCTTGAAAAGAGGGGTGAGAAAAATGTCTCAGCTGCCAAGTCCACATTGTCTGGGTGCTGCTGCCATCCGTGCTGGGAGCATGGAGCTCTCAGCACCACCTCACTAGCTGCTGATCCTTTCACTTGGTACCCTTGGAAGGCAACAGGCTGCACAATGCATGGAATTATCACTGACAGCAAGGAAAAACTGCTCTGCAACTAGCTACAGTCAGTACAGGTACTTGTTACACATACAACAAAAATAACCTGTTGACTCTGCAGAAGAGAAATAAAAAAAAAAATCTGTTTGTTTTTTTTTTCCCTTTAATTTGAGTTTTAAACTCTCCCTGAAAACATTAGTACAGTGAACTGTACTAAAAATAACAAATTTTATTACTAAAATTTTATTAGGACTTAGTGCAATATATTGCAATTAGCAAAGCATTGAACTGAAATTTAGGAAGCACTGTTAATTACACTTGAGTTCCACAGCAATGGTACCTTTGGTTGCCAGTCAGATGGCCCAGGGTCCCTTTGGGCTGCTGCTATTGGTACAATATATGCATCTGTCTTCTGTAATAAACTGTCCACACAGTTGGGCTGCACAGGAAAGTACCAAAAACTAGTTAGTCTAACAATTTAATAACCATTTAAAGTGAAAATTTAGGCTAAGAAATGTTTTGTACTTATACAAAGGAAGCCTTTTCAGTTACAGCTTTTTTATTTGGAAGCCATCCATGACAGGGTAAGAAACCATGTTTTTCAAACAGAACAGGAAAAAGAAGATTTCTAAAATGTTTCTTTAAGCTTTAGATTGATTGAAAAGGAAAAAAAAAGGCTGTTAAAAGCATTTTTTACATAACAGGATAAAAATCAATGTGAATTAACAAACACAAACAGTGTTCCCAGTGTATTTCAACCTAAATGCTAAAATTCCAAGGAGAGCCATGCATTTAAAAAGCTAGTGGGGGAAAAAAAAGGTGGTAAAAGATGGAGTAGGGAAGGAGAATTACCAGACATATTGATGGGATATTAAAAATGACTAAATACTACACTTTTCATGAAGTTTCTTGTCATACATGAGGCCTCCTGAATATTGTCAAGATGATATCTTCTATTTATTACCAGCTTCATAAACAATGCCTCTAAGCAATTTATAGCTCAACTTCTATGGTTTCTAACCCAAGAATTTTATTCCAGGAGCCAGGTGGAAAATGAATTTATCTTGTACAGATAAATATATGTAGTCAAAAATTGGTTACCATCAGGGCAGGAGAATCAAAGTATGAACAGGAAGATGCCTGTAAACTTTCTGAGTAAGGCATTTCCGTAAACTCTTTTATAGCTACAAGAGATGGAAAAGCACAGTGAGTTACAGTCAATAGTCTGGGGTTTTTTACATGAAAACATCTGAATATTTACAGCTTTGCAAACCTTACCCATGCAACCCATGCACAGTTAGGATTTAACTGAATGAGAGCAAACAGACTTGGAGCTCACAATGTTGCTTTAAACAGCACAAATTGCACGAAGGAACCTACATAACACAGCACTCTAAAGGTATTGCTAAATGAGGAGAAATGAGAGCAATCAAACAGGTATAGACATACAGAATCCAGTTTGAAATAGAAGCTGCCCTAACCTTGGTCCTTCTCAAGGGGTTCAAGTGTCTCCTTAGGAGGGTCTGTTCCACAGAACATGTTGGTGTTCTCCTCCATCCTTTGCAAGCTCTCTAATGCTGTGCTATGCTGTGTCAAAGCTCTCAGAAGAGCAATATCATTCACCAAATCAGGGAATCCTGAGCAATTCTCAGCCACTGCTGTGCATTTCAGGCAATCCACCCCTATTGTCTCTCCTTGGCAGGCTTCAGGAGAAGCAGTTCTGCACTCTGCATTTTCCAGCACAGTTCCTCCTACTGCTGTTTCCTCTGGAGATGAACAACCTCCTCCTAAAGGATCTGATTTCTGTGACAAGGCCAGCAGAGGGCTGCCTGGTTTCATGTCACCACTCCTAGCAGGCCAGAAGTGCTCTGAGCCAACATCTGGGGATTCCATACATCCAAGCTGTGTAACTCCTCCCTCAGTCTTTTGGTCCAAGGCAGAAATTATTCTGCTGGGAGAAATACCACTTCCAGTGGCTTCAGACAGCCTGGTTTCAGGGTGACATTCATTAACACCAGTGTCCCCAGGCAGGAGATCAGAGTGCTGCTTTTTCAGCCAGGATGTGCCACTGATGGTGAGTGCTGCACAGCCATCCAGATCCTCCTCTTGCTTTGAGCCTCCAAAACTTGACTGACTCTCACTGATCTCTTTTATGTTGTGTCCATCCCCTAGAAGTTCCACTTGGGTTTTGGTCTGGTTTGCAGCATCTTCTACAGCTCTCCTGGCATCACTGTCACAAAGCTGGGGTGGTGGACCCCTCTCTCCATCAGATTTGGAACATTTGACTTCATTTTTGCTTTGTGTCTCTACATCACAGCAAGAATGAGGCTTCCAGTGAGGGCTCCAGGCAGCACCCTGTGCTACATCTCCTCCCTGGAAGCTGCCTGGGCTCCATGAAGGTGTGTCTCCCTCAGAGAATCCCTTCCCTTCTCTCTCACACACATCTTCATTGTCCATGTCATTAAAATCAAAAGCCTCCATTAGGTTAAAGCTAACCTCCATCAGTTCCCCATCAGGACTACAGCCTGTGCCCTCCTTCCCAACTCCAGCTTCAGCCAATGTCACATCCCCAGAGAGCTCTGGGTCATTAGACAGTCCCTCTGAATTTTGCCTTGGTTGAAACTCACTCTGCATCTTCACAGAGCAATTCTCCCTAAGCCTGTCAGTCCCTGAATGCTCCCTGTGTCCAAAGGGATGGCTTTCAAAAGTGGTTGGACTTGCTGAAGGTGAAATGTCACCTGAGGATGGGACAAACTGACTGCCACTCATTCTACTCACAGTGGACTCAGGTAGGAAGTAACTACTTGTGTTGCAGTCACCTTGTAAATCTTGACTTAAATTATTTACCTTTTTGTCTTGTCTGTGTCCTGTGACTTCTTCCCCACAAGGCTGTTCAGCTGAATTTGCAAGTGCTAGAACATTCCAGTCCTTTGTATCCTTTACATTTCCCTGCACAAAAGGCAGGTGCTGGGTATCTGGAACGAGTCCTTTGGCAGGGTCACCTGAAGGAGCAGGCAGGACAGGGCTTTTTCTGTCACATAAACCTGCATTTTGTGCTGCCTGAACCCTGGAAAGGCAGCCTGTGGCTCCAAATGTTTGCTCTCTGTGGTGTCCTTGTGCTGGTTTGGACTTGAGCAGAGCAATGATCTGTGCTGTGCTCCTGATGTGGTGGGACACTGCCCCAGCACCAGTGTGCCCAGGGAGGAGAGGAGATTCCTGCTTCCCAGCCACCTGATGGGAGTTCTGCCTCTCTGTGCCCTCCCAGCTGTCACTGAAGGGAGCAGAAAGCAGGCAGGACACAGACATTTGTTCTCTGCCCTTGTCCCTGCACCCCTCTTCCTGACTGCCTGCAGAGGGATTTGTTCCTGCATCCTTCCTGCAAACCGTGGAAAACAACGGAGAGCTGATGTAAAACTGGGATGGAAAACTCCCTTGGCACCCCTTAGATGAGGGCAACACTGCTGCTTTTCCTTCATCTTCCACAGCTGGTGTTTTCTTCTCAACTTGGCGTGGCCCTCGGAAGCCCTGGGAGAGAAATTGGCAATTAATCCATGTTTTGTAATCATACTCAAAATGGGGCACACTGCATTCTGATCAAATGGCCTGGGAATATATTCTGATCAAATCCATGAGGATTCCACAGGTGCACAGAAACAACCTTAAGCCTTGTGATTTTTACTGTAGGCAACATCCATCCTGCTAAACCAAATCTCCTAAATGTGGAAAAAATACATTCTGGATTACAGCTTGTGATAAATAGGTATGATTCGTGCTGATAAAAAATTGAAACAGTAATCAATATTGATACAGTAATTAATATTTGAGAATAATAAAACAGTTAAAAGTTGTAATGCCAAAGAAGAGATGGAAAGGAGGGGGTCCACCCACCAGCAGGTGTTCTCAAGGACCACAGGAAAGAAGCTGAAGATACAGTTGCTAAAAATGACCAAGAACCTGGTTGGGTCCAAGAAAATGCTAATTATAAAGGACTTATTGCTTTGATATGTAGATGCAGCGATACGTTAGTTTTACACTGCATATAAACATGAGACATAAAATTGGCAACAAAAACTCACTGTAAACTTCCTTTTCAAGCCAACAGGGAGATGTCTTGGGGGTAGAAGAGCAGGTTTGACACCATTTCTGTCCACTGCTGGAGTTTCTGCTTGCTTTGGCCGCTCTTCAGAAGGCTTTTCACTCACTTTGGCTGCTTCAACTGTGATTAAATATCGCTCACTTTCCAAATCATCTCCAGGAGTCACCTGGAAAAGGGACAGCAGCAGTGTATACTTGATAGTACTGTACAAGAAACAATATTATATAGCTTTATTTTTAAAAACATACAGTCTTTTGAGTACTTGTAAGTAAAAAATTCAGCTGCTTACACCTACTATATCACAAATGCCAGATAACTTTTATTTATACATATATTGTAAAAAGCAGCAGCACTTAGCTCCAATGATTATTTCATTTATCACTGTAATACACTGCTTTTACCACAGAGCAAGAAAAATTCCATGAAAGCTTCTGGACAAACAGTAAGATCTGGTAATTAATAGAAGCTGTTTTCCCTTTCTATTATTTGCACTATAGCAGAGTTCCATATCAGCCACTAGAAAAATTACTCTTTTGGCTACCAAACAAGTGTTTTGAATGCTGCCTGAAAGACCAACTACAACCAGATATAAAAACAACTCTGAACAAAAGATACCTGAGATTTTATAAAAATACTCTCCAGACATTGTCCTTTATCATCAAACAAGGTAGCCTGCAAAATACAAAAGAACCTTTTAAATAACCACACATTTATTTCACAAATCAACTAGACTGCCACTGGCAGCAGCAGATATTAAAGCCAACAGTGTTAAATCTGAATTTTCACCTGATTTCTCCCAGTTCTAACCCTCAGAATTCCATCTTGCCATGTTTTTGATTTTTTCATCTTTTGGTGAGTGTATAACACCTGTTTTAAACATGTAAAACATTGAAAAAACAAGAAGTAAGAAAACGTTCAAGTATTTCAGCAGCTACAGTTTTTAAACTTAATTAATTCCACAGTGTTAAAAGTCACTCACAGTAAATTCTTGAGAGGCCATTGCTTTGGCAACACAGACACCCAACAGGTTCTTTCACAAATATCCCACACCTTCCCACAGCCAGAGAGACAGGGAAATGGCCAGGATGCAGCAGAGCTGTGAAGGAAAAGTGTGGACAAAAAAATTCTTATTTTTTCTGCTCAAAAAGAAAAGATAATTAGATGCAAGACAGTAACAAACCAGTGGAGTAGAGCTGCTGTGAGCATTTTAAAGAGAAACCTCAAAAACAATCTAACAGACTGCTGTTAAAAAAGAAATAAATATTTTTAATAGATGTCAAGATATTTCCAGCTTTTAGACAAGTTCATTCATTTAAATGAATGGCTGGTATCGCTGAAAAATTCAGAATTACTTGAAATAAAATTCCAAAAGTTTATTTGCAGAAAAAACTCCAAAAAAGCAAATCCAAAATAGCAGAGAAGCTGTTATCAGAATGATTTTGTCCCAGGTGTGGAGTTGCTCATGCAAAAAATAACTGACTTCCCATGGAGCCAAACCTCTTTGCATATTTGAAATTACACCATGAGATACTTTAAAGTAAATTTTTATATTGATTTTTAATCTATGAATATTTGGAATTAATATTTAAATATATTATACATTTATGTAAATATTATACAATGTTATATAAATATTTAGAATTAATACTTAAGTCGATTATATATAATACACATTTAAATATTACATATAAATATTTAGAATTAATATCTAAGTATACTATATAAAACATTTAGATGCAATTCTGATTTAATATTTTAATGTAAATATATTATGTTTGATATCGATATATCAATATATAACATGATATATATACTTTGGATGGGTGAGGAGCAGTTTATATGACGGACAGGGGAAAAGATTCGCGCTGTTTCTTATGGTTGCCACCTCCTTGGGCGCTTCACAAGGTGGCAATCCTTGGAGCCGGTTTGAGGACAGAGTTTTATTCCCTGAGTTCTCAGAGCAGCCGGAGGGACGCGAGCCCTTGGGGAGCTCCCGGGGAACGAACGCCGCGGGCAGCG